AGTTTTTAACAAAATTATATTAATAATTAGGAGTTTGACGAATTACGCGCTAATTAATTGGCAACGGTTTTTTTATTTTATTTAGTCGATACCTTAAACATTAATACAATTATATCCGTTATAATAATTACCTATAATTTATTACAGGCATTTACACCTTTTGGAGAAAAATTTTATCCAATGCATTTAATCGGTGTATGGGCGTATACAAAAACAACCAAGCGATTTTCGTCGAAATTACCATTTTTTCCCCAAAAGCCATCGGTCTTTATTATTTTACAAGAGATAACACGCTGAGCCCAAAAAATGCCGATTGAAGAATTTTTAAGCGCGATTTTGCTTAAAAATATATCCAAGACATTCATCTCGACGCGTGACTCGTCCCCGATAAAAAAGCATACATCATCTCGGCGTGCTCGAGCAATTTGCAAAAAAAAACCTTCCTTTAACGACTGCCAAAAAATTTTGCAAAATTATCAGCCTTGCATCTCCGGGGCGCTCGTTTCACACGATAATAATTGCCGTACATAAACACGGTATAAAAGGAGGAGACCGGTCGTGCAATAAAATTCATGCACATCTCGCCGAAAATCGCGTCAAAGGTAACGCCTTGGGGGAAAAATAGGGGGGGGGAATAAAGGATAGTGTGGAAAAAAATGGTGAAATCCGTGAAATCACTCATACGGGCATTAACGGTAGCAAAACGCAGAGAGGTAAGTGTCGCTTTCTCTTGGGTACGATGAGCCCGAGAGAGAGAACAGTGACCACGTGGTTGCCTCATGTTGTATATTTATGAAAGCGGGGCCACGACGACGCCATAAATTCACCAGCGGCCCGAAGCAGCAACGAAATTATCTCGCGCATATTAAAAGCACCGTTGTTCCTGCAGGTATATTATAATGTATATGTGCAGCAACGAAGAAAATCGAACATCTCGTTCGGCTCTTTTTTTTTGTGCGCTTTTTTTTAGAATTAGCAGCATAACTATGCAAACCTTTTTTTTTTTTTTTTCATCATCTTTTGTGCATAGCAATCGTAAAATTGGTGCATTGAAAACAAAACGGTTGTTAAATAAAACTCTAGTTTTTATTATCTCTGCGATCGGATAGTTCTGACATTGATACGCTATTTTCGCGAAAAATCAACATAGTTACCGATACTTATTTTTTTATTACCGGAGGTGTAAAAAAACGATTTGCATCACAACATTCGTTACTCAAACTCTGAGAAACATTGATCAAAATGGTCCAGTTGATAAAGGGTCACGAAAATGGAAAAAATTTTGATACGAGACCTGAGAATGTTGCCTTAAATAAAAAAATTGACAAACCCCATAGATGAAAGAGAAAAAAAAGGAGAAATTTAAACATGACAAATTTTTTTAATTTCCATTTTAGAGACCCCTAAGTAAGCTATAGATTTAGAGAAGAGTAGTGAGCAGCAGGACATGGGACAGGAGTAGATTAATACATTGATTCTATCCGCTGTGTGTTGCAAAATCCACGGTCGGATTTATCCATACATACATATTACATCATATACAAATGGCGGAAATTCTGCTGCTCACTCCCTCAAAGCTCACTAGAGAAGAAGTAAACAAACAAAAAAATATCAAAAGCTCAATTGTCAGTCACACGAGAGCCATGCGTGCTGTTATAAACCGTAATTATTTGAGCACTAATCTACGACAGTACTATGAGATTTTCCGTGTCTTATCTTTGTGTTAAAAACAACCCCTGTAGCGTAAAAACTATTTTCATCAGGTGTATCGCGCATAGAAAGAGAAACTATTGTTTCGTTTCATAAGAAATGTAAATTTAACCAATGGCTTTCGTAAAGCATACATCGATGAACAAAGTAAAAGTGAGTACTCGTAATAAATTACCAGTAATATTTATGTATATGTTAGGGTACGGACCGTCAATACCTCACGTTAAATACACGCAGCGATGGTCTATACACACTTCGACAGCGTGAATATTCAAATTTACTGGACAAACCTATTTACCCGTATAACAAAGAGACGAAAAATAAAGAGACAACGAGGGCACAAAACCTCCTGTATGACATCGATCGCACCGTTCTGCCGGAGACGGCCATTTCGAAAGCTCAGCCTATGCCACCCCTTCATGAAAAAAACTCCCCACACGCGATTACCCTAAACACGAGGTACTCATACGACCGCGTGTTTGTTTGGGCTCGGTAATTACCGCGTAATGGCACCAACGATGGAAACAAAAGGCCAGACGAGAGGCTTATAATTCGACGGATCGATTAGCCAAGGCTCGTATTGGACAAACAGAAGCGTATAATATACACGCAAGCTTGGGCTCATCGATACACAGGAGGAAATCGAGGGTTGCATAATTCATAGGATACAACCCGGTGATGTGAAGAATGGCAGGACGAAGGGCGCTCTAGGTGTACCTACCTATAGGTGATCAAAACTCCAAAGGACACGTCGGAGCTCCTTGCCACGTGAAAAGGGCGTGTTGCTAGTGTACGGGCACACGTATATGTTACACACGAACGCGTTGGTGTGAATATTTCCGAAAAAATAACGCAAGGTGCCGACATCTGTGAGCCGACTCGGGAACCCACTCGAGCGTGAGTTTATGAGCTCGTTCGATGGGGCCGTTCGACTGGCAATGTCGGGCAGCAAACCTTGCACACCAGGACCGCGAGGAGAAGGTATACGTACATATATATAGGGGAAGAAAGAGGAGAGCAACGAACGAAGGCTGTGCTCCTCGATCGAGTCGGTGGGGTGTCCGGTTGCCGGTTCGGCATCGACGGACGATCGGTTAGCGGGTATACTATATTGCAAGGTAGTATCGCGAGGGCAGGGCTTCAGCTTCCGAGAGCAGCCGGAAGATGGGAGAGTCAACTAGATCCTGTTTGAATATAGTACCAAAACTGTCACTGATTAGAACCACAGGTGATTTCGTCGACTGCACCCTCACTTTTCACAAAATAAATTTCCCAAAAAAAAAAAAAAAAAAATTGTTCACAAGTACAACCGGCACGAGGTTGAGCACGAAAGTTTTAATCAAACCTCGACGCGCACCCTCGTCGAGCCCACGTACAGGGAGGAAAAGCTCCTCAAAGTTTTCGCATATCTCGCCACGACGGAAATTGAACTGCGACTGAGAGCCCCGAGCTTGGGGCTGTAGCAGTGCGTCCCAAAGGCTTCTTCTACGAATCCTCGCGATAATTTACTCGTCGGTGACAACGTACCTGCGCTGGGTTAAGTATAATATTGGTAGACGGTAAATTTCTCGGGGCGTTGGTCCGAGTTGGTAGGCGGGAAAGCGCGTTACGGAGCATCAGGGAAAAGACGACGAAACGAGAGCGAAAGCCACGGGAGGCCCCACAACCAACCTGTGCGCCTCTTCGACTTGTCGTCCGTCGAAAGGTTCCGATACCTTCCGTACTGCTCTGATGTTTACGATGTATACCTGTATACGTACGTTCAGTGCTGTGTCTACTATATATATAGCCGCTTTGCCTCATGCTACGCGTATAAATTACGAGAGACCGGCCTATTATCACTTCGTTATGGCCCCCATAAATCCTGGGCCTCGTTGCCTCGCCTGTGTTGTCTGCGAGGCTGCATTTAAGCCACTCTATAAATATACAGACAACCAGAGGGACCAAAAATTCTCGACCTTGAATTTCGCGAGACCTTGATCGAAAGCGAGATGTACATGAAATGTATTGGAGGTACCCGATCATCCAAGTAATTGATTTTATCGCGAAATTATTTCCAAAATTAACAGTAGTAACGGTTAAGTGCATCGTTTCTAATGTAATATAAGCTCGTCTCTTGTTGTATACAGTACAAGGACCTTAAAATTGGAAGGTACGCGCATTAATTACGCGAACGATAATTACCGCAAATGCGCGCCAAGCAGATAAGCATCGCACAACGAAGCTCGGCTTTTCGCGCGGCTTTGTACCACGCGGAAGGCTTTGCAATTTGCATGAGCCGTCGTCGTACTCACCCTACAGTTTACGGTAGGGATTTGTGTATGGGGTTTCTACATAAAAAAAAAAAAAAAAA